CTTTTTATTTTATGCCTATGTAAAAAGTTTTTGGAAATACTTCGACTTTTGGTGAAGCGAAGACAGAAAATAAGTACCAGGAAAATACATTATAAACGGAACTTTTTTTTAACGTAGAAAGCCTTTATTGATATTTTGTCTACAATAATCTTTAATGGAGGTTTAGGAATTGCCAGTCTAGAGTCAAATTTCTGCTATTGATTTTTATTTTACATTCCATTAAATTAATAATATTAGCACTCCTGAGTTGAGCACAAAATGTCATTTTATCCATGCTTTATAGATTTCTAAACTCAACCTGAACTCACCAGGTGGTACATAAAATTATACAGGAGACTAGGATGAATGAAATGTTTTAAAAAAAGAATCAATGAAAAACATGAATAAGTCTTTTCATTAAAGCTTTCAGCTTTAAAAAGCAAAACATATTACTTTCGAATCTAGCGCCAAATTATAACGCACGGATCAGCACAGCTGGAGTAAAATGTTGTGGCAGTTTGTTGAGTGGTAAAAGAGAATTTGCTTGTTTGTGGGTTGCATTAAATACTCTGCTTTTCACGAAAAAACTTCATTAAATAGTAAATATTTCGCTAATTGAGAGCAGAAGTGCATGGAATTTTCCATTATTTGTGTTAACATTTTGTGCATACTTAAAACATTACAAAGTTATTTTGTGGATTTGTTTCAGTTTATTTTAAATTCAGTTCATCTTTGATGTTTTAAATTAATTTTAAATTTAATTGGTGTGTTATCCAAAAAAGATAAATCTTAAAATATACAACACTAATTAGGAAATGGTTTAAGATTACACCTACTTGCCATTATTATTCTTTCAAATGTCTGAGTGTGAGGAGTCGTTTACTTCAAAATCTAATTCTTGGAACCACTTTCCCTCTCAAAACTGAACGACATTCACGATGTTATAAAAACTTATAAAATAACAAAAAGATTTGGAAATACTTCATAACCTCGAAAAATGCGCGGTTAAAATTAACTTCCGAAAAAAAAATTCCTTTTCATAATGGAACTTTATTATTATTTCTAGTTCAAGTCTTGACTATAAAGGAAATTCTTATAAAAATGTTGTTCTTCTATTTCTACAGAAGATTGCTGTACGGAAAAATGAACTAAGTCAGAAATTCAGAGAAAATAAAATTGCAAATTATCATTATGGTAAAGAAACATTTTTATTTCAATGAGAGGAAATGGAAAACATGAAGAAAACTTCCTTGCAAAAAAAATTCAGAAGCGAAAAAAAACATTCAATTTCATTTCACATTCTTGCCCTTCAATCAAATGAATTATTTTTGACATAAATGGATCAAATATTTAGGAAGCGGCATCATATCTTTCTTCGACTTCAACCCATGTCTCTTTTATTTAAACATTATTTCATTTATGTGTCTGTAATGATGATTTTCTCATGAATTAAGGCACATATGCTGAAGATATCATTCACAGTGTGAATAATTTTGTTAACATTTAATCTTCTTTAAAGCATGACTTTTTCTCCTTTATAAATGACATCAACATCGTTCATTTCATTTTCATTCTCTTTAATCTGTGTAAAAGAAGATAATCTTAATCACTATGATTGATGATTTTAATTATATCAGTTTTATCATTCTCCTTACAAATCATATTTCACAAGGCAAAAATCTTTACTTTATTGTAGTTATTAGTCCCTCGTGTACGCTACTGCTGTGTGTGTTCAACTTTATATATGTGCTCACACTTTAGAGAGTTATGTCATATGCTCAACAGCAGTTACACTAGTTGGTACAATTTTTCATGTAGGAACAATGTTCTCATTTTGGCTGATGTGTTTGATTACCTAATTAGTGGCGTAAATAGGAAGCTCTAGGATGTTTAACATTTTCACCTCGAAACACAATTTTTAAGGCGTTGGAATAGAATTTGATAAAAATTAGACATTACAATTAACCAAGCCAAAGGCATTGAAAACACTTTATTTTCACCATTTAAGTATTGCTAAGCATTCATTAACTTTTGACATTAAAATTTCTCAAAATCACAACATTTAAAGCTTTAAAGCATGTGACCTTTATAAATCTAGAAGCTTCCCTCCTCCCAATGTCTGGAAACCTATTCTTTATAGTAAAATTTAATAATTCTGCTGTCTTTAAATTATTTTGAGGTGCTTCCTTTTTGTCTCTGTGGGAAAACCTGTGGAGACTCCATGCGCACAGTATTAAAGCATTAATAAGGAGTCGTCGTGCGTAAACTTTTGTCTCTTGTGAATATAAATTGTTTCTTTAAATTTAATTGGACGGAAATGCGCTTCATACTTATACTCCGAAGGCAACTAGAATTGAATCTTTCGTACCAGTTATATGGAGCATGCACATAATTCTCTAGTACTATAAGCTTATATTCTTATTTCTTTGCTGTTTTAATTCCACAATAACATCCAATCTATATTTATTTACATTTACAGGCGCACATACATACTCGTCTACATTTTACTTTAATACTGCCACTGGTGTCTCGCATTCCTTACATTGACACAGCTTAAAATGACATTAAAGCTATTTACTGAGCAGCCCGCAACAAAATTTATCATTTTAACTTTCAACAGCAACTCAGTAGAGCTTTAAATCAACAACAGAGCAGAACAATAAATGTACGCAGCTTCTGCTTCTTTTCGTGCAGAATAAAGGAGTTCTGCCCTCAAAAAGACGTGTGAAAATGTGCGAAGGAGAGGGAAAGACAAAATAAAAAATTATTATCGCATGAGTATTTGTTGTTCTACCAATCCATTTAGGTTTCACACATTCCACACAAAAAAAAAAACTTTTTGCTTTTTATTCTTGTGCTCCTTCACCTAACTTCTCTCGGTTATAAAGGGAAATTTATTTTCTTTTCTGTACTTCACATCTCATACTTTTTCACATAAACGTAAAAACAAACAAGATATTACAACTTATGGTTAAGAGTTGTTGACGCTTTGAGTGATTTCTCTCGACTGCTTTTCACTCGCAGTCGAGAAAGCAGTTTCAATTCTTCTTGTTCTTGATTTTGATTTAAGCAAATTTACACGCTCATGATTGCATACTTGCGGTTGAGACTGTTAAATGAGAGATGAAAGTTGAACATTTCCAATGTCCCTTTTTGACTCATTTTTCAATCTTTCATCTATTTTTACAGCAACAAAACTTCTAAAAACGACCTTTTTTCTATTGTCAGTCTACAATGAAAAAAAAAAGTTGTTGGAAATCGAGCGATAAGGGTCTGGAAAATGAGTATAAAATTTTTTTTTCTTTCTTTCTTTTCTTCTTCTCATCTTTTGCTCCCTCTCCATTCAACCAAAAAAAAAGCAAGGAAGAAAGCAGGCAGCAGTATTGTGAGAATGGGAAGAAAAAAATTGGCATACGACATTTCAATTTTCACCGAAATAAATTTTGATGTTATATGTTCGTCACTGCTCATCATTCTACGGCCTCTTTATTGTGTATGGCATAAAGCAAATAGCTTTATGTACATAATCCAACTAAATATTTTCATCTCACTCAGCACTCAACATCCCAATGATTTCTTTTTTACTCACTGCTCTGCACTGTGTTGTGCTTTTTTTCTTCAGAACTTTCCCTTGATTTTTATTACATTTTTTTCCCTTCTATTTGTACGTCTTTATTTTACATTTTTATATTATATAGTACAAGTTTAATTTTAAGGAGAACCTCGAATGTTATCAAACCATCAATTCAAACCAACAATTTTTTTAGGATTTTCGTTCAACGGAAAAATTAAATTTGAATTTTACACTAATACTATCATACAAAAATTAATTTCTTAAAAAATCTCAATAATGCAATTAGTTTACAAGAAATTTAAGGTTTAAGTAGTTAAAACATTTGATATTAAAGCTTTTCTATATATTCCAGAAGCGTAAACATCAGTATTGAGTGATATTTTCATGACTTTTCCAATTTGAATTTCATTTGGGTTTGTAAACAAAAAAATTACAAACGACAAATTTAAAAATATACAAACCGTTTAAAACTTTACTTAATTTTGTTCATTTAAGTATGTTATGGGCCGTTCACTTATTATGTTACGCAAAAAACCGACTTTTTTCACCCCCCCCCCCCCCCCCCCCTTGTTACAACATGTTACAACTCGCAACCCCCCCCCCCCCCCCCCTGAACGTTCATAATTTAAATTTTTTTCGTGAACTTTTTTTTAAAAGACAGACGACAGTTAGAACGTTACATTCTTCTTGACACCTTCCCCCCCCTATGTTACATTTTGTTACAATTTTTCAAACCCCCCTCCCCCCTAAAATGTGAACGTAATAAGTGAAAGGCCCCTTAACGAGATTTCCATTTATGAAGATGTATCGAATTCCCCAAAAACTATTCGTGAGTGGTGCTTATTTAAAATTCTAAAAGATAAATTAACTTTGGAATTTGTGACTATTGTGGTTTCGGAGATATTCAAGAAACTGTAGCGTCACTATGGAATAATTTTTTTTAACCGGTGCCCTTTTTTGTTTCCTGATCTTTTTAACATAATTTTCTTTGAAAAAATTCGCTTATATCTTCACTTTGACTGTCTGGATTGGTGAGATCTTGGCAAATTAAGCACAAAGCGATTTTAGGTTTTTGCATTCAATTGCTGTGCTTCAGGCAAACATTTTTAGAGGTGTTTAAACACATTTTCATTGCTTAATTAAGCTACGTTTTCTTATTTCATTGGCATAGCCCATTTTTGCAAAAATAAAAATTTTGAATATTAATTAACCGTTCCATAAAGACGCATGCGATTTAGATTTAATGCTTGTTGATCTTTGATTTTAGATTAGCACGGATCATTACAATTCTAGTTTGATATTGGGTTATAACCGTTATAACTCAGTTTACAAATATATATGAGAAGAAGATGAAGTCGTTTAGAACCGAATTACTTGCGATCTTTTAACCACGTTTTACTTAACTTGCTTTCTTATTACTAGTTTTTTTCCATCCTCGCATAACGACTTATAAAATTTTAAATACATTAAATCGTCGTCCCGTGTGCAAAAAATCATTCTTGAACTTTGTGATTAAATCAACAAGTAATATTAACTAGATATGACTGAAGGATCTATAATAACTTGTCTTGCTGCTGTTGCTTGGGCACCAAAGGAACCGCTAAAAATTGAGAAAATTCAAGTTGAGCCCCCAAGAGCAGGAGAAGTTAGAGTTAAAATTTATGCTACCGGAGTTTGTCATACTGATGCATATACACTAAGTGGTATTGATCCAGAAGGTCTATTTCCATGCATTTTGGGTCATGAAGGTGCTGGAATTGTGGAATCAGTTGGCGAAGGAGTCACACAGTTTAAGGCTGGAGATCATGTCATTCCACTGTATACACCTCAATGTAAGGAATGTAATTATTGCTTGAACAAGAAAACAAATCTGTGCCAGAAAATTCGTTTGACTCAAGGACGTGGTCTGATGCCTGATAATACAAGCAGATTTAGCTGCAATGGAAAGACACTGTATCATTTTATGGGATGCTCAACATTCAGTGAATATACAGTTGTTGCTGAAATTTCAATTTGTAAAATTGCTGATGCAGCACCACTCGATAAAGTCTGTTTATTAGGATGTGGAATTCCAACTGGATATGGAGCAGCTATTAATACAGCCGGCGTTGAAAAAGATTCTGTTTGCGCTATATGGGGACTTGGTGCTGTTGGATTGGCTGTTATTATGGGCTGTAAAGATGCCGGTGCGAAGAAAATCATTGGAATTGACATTAATCCAGATAAATTTAATGTAGCAAAGAGTTTTGGTGCTACAGATTTTGTCAATCCAAAGGACTTAGGTGACAAGACAATCCAAGAATATCTATTTGATAATTTTGATCAAGGACCTGATTATACATTTGAATGCATTGGAAATGTCCAAACTATGCGTCAAGCTTTAGAAAGTGCTCATAAAGGATGGGGAGTAAGTGTTATTATCGGAGTAGCTGGAGCTGGCCAAGAAATTTCAACTCGTCCATTCCAACTTGTTACTGGTCGTGTCTGGAAAGGAACAGCATTCGGTGGATACAAGAGTGTTGAAAGTGTCCCAAAATTAGTCGATCGCTATCTTGCTAAGGACTTTAAAATTGATGAATTTATTACACATGATTTACCATTGGATAAGATTAATGAGGCATTTGATTTGATGCATGACGGAAAGAGCATTCGAGCTATAATTCACTTAAATTAAATTTATTTGTGCTAATTTTTTTATGAATTTTTATGGGTTCTAAATACTGTCGATATACTCACGACTTTTGAATGATAATAAAAAAGTTGTTAATCAAGTCCAACGGTTTTTAAAATTTCAAAAAAAAAATTCTTGGGTCTCTGTATTCTTAATGGCGTAGAGCAAATAGCTTTATGTACATAATACAACTAAATATTTTCATCTCACATCTCAATGATTTCTTTTTCATTCACTGTACTGCACAGTACTGTGCTTTTTTTCTTGTGAACTTCCCTCGATTTTTATTTTATTTCATTTTTTTCCCCTCTGCTTATTCGTCTTTATTTTACATCTTTTATATTATATAGATTCAAGTTGAATTTGAGGAGAACCTCGACTGTTGTCAAACCATCAATCCAAACATGACTTGAGACTTTTTTTTTGTTTCTTGATCTTTTTTTCTGTTTTTCCATCCTCACACTCCCCCCCACCAAAATATATATATATATATATATATATATATATATATATATATATATATATATATATATTTTCAGCTCCTCAAACACATCGTTCTGTTTTTTTTTTGAAGCAACGGAGGAGCAAAATGAAATGGAATATGTACACACAGGTACACACATATTCCATGTATATTGTACAATATTATAGTAATCATATTTCACATCATGAATTGATGGAGTCTATGGAGGCGTATAAAATAAAATTGAGCCACAATAGTACCAGTAAACTGTATATAGGAATGTGTATATTATGCATATATTATTACCACAACAAAATTCTCCAACCCTATACTTTGTATGCTTAATACAGCGTTTCGCTTCCTCATTCTAAATCTATTTAATTAATGAAAAATCTTTCCGTGTAATAAATGAAAATTGCTTTTGACATTGATGTGATGTTGACTTTTTGATATAAGCTCAGCTATGAGCTCTCCATGATGAACATAACATCAGTCAGTCACAAGGCGTGTGTCTATGTCATGGATAATTTTGGATGATTTTTTTGATTGTTAGCGAAATGTTTTAATTTTTTTGGAGTATTCAGCTTTGAGGTTCAATAAACTTGATCCTGGCAGATTTTAAAATATGTTTTCAGTTTAGGGTCGTTCACTTATGACGTCCATCAAAAAACCTGATTTTTAGACCCCCCCCCCCCTCTGTCACAAAAATTCTATAGAAAAAAATTTTCATTGTTTAAACTGTCACAAAATCCTAGACCCCCCCAAATGTCGGACGTCATAAGTGAACGGCCCCTTTTCTATGCGAACTTTATCCATAAAACTCAAAAAATTTATTGATGTAGCTTTAGACTAGTGCAGCTAGTTTTTGATGAATTGGTGAATAAAAAGTCACCCTCCTTCCTACGCTGCCTCAATCCATTTAATTTACAAAAAAAGTCTGTATTTTCATTTAATTTTAGAAAAGCATCACAAGCCTTTTTGTTTTGCGGTTTTTCCTTTCTATTGATTTTTAACCCCAACCTCTCTTTTTAATTGCTTAACATTTCTGACAAATTTAATCAGAAAACCTAAATACTTCGACAGCAACTTGTTAAAAAAGTCAAAAGAAAAAAACTTTACAAAATGTTAAACAAGATTCAACAATAATCACTTTATAGTACGACGAACTAATGCCGGAATAACAACATTCACGTTTTCGCAAGGAAATAATTTCCAGAAAAATTAAATCCTTGCTTTCGCTCCGCAGATTATTTGATTACTTTTCTATAGAACAGATTAACTTAATTGAATACATGTACGTTTAGAATTAGTTGGAATTAGATAGCAGACGATCATTTACACACTTCTGTTTGCGATATTTGTTGCTATATTTTCGATTAAAGATAAAATGACGTCAAGAGTTAAAGTTCATATTCAGATATGTGAGGTGAATTTTGCTGTGGATACGATGAGATTTACATTCTACGTATTTTATAGAAATATTAATCAGAATATTGTAAATTGTTTACTACACGTAGTAAAAAGCTGTAACTGTATATGACGGATTTCAAATGAAATATGAAATTTCAACAATTGTTTTAGAAAAATTTCAAATGAACTTGATTGAAACTTTACATAAATTAAGGACTGAAGTTATTGCCTAAGGGCAAAGGAGTAATTAAATATTTTAATTGTCTGTATATTGAAACTCTAGTTTAATTGATTTTCATGCAATCAACGTGTTGAAATCAATATTAAATTGCTTTGATTTGATGTATGCACAAACTAACCATCGACTTTTGACCACAAAGTCGCATTCATTTGCCATCAATTTGAATTTAATTGGTAAATTGCTTTTAGTATTGTAAACTTAATTATAAGATATAGCTTGTTTTTAATGTTTATGCAAAGTAGCATTGTAATGCTAAAACCAAAAGATTATAAGTACCAAGTAGTTCCAAAAAATCGTTCATAAAACTCATTTGCTCTGTTTGTCATAATATTTATTTCCATAAACTCAAAAAAAGATTCTCCAAGAATATAATTCATTTTAGAAGAATTATGATTCCCATTGGATCCATTTGTTCCTATTATTTAAGCAAAAATCCTGAATATTTTTACCGTCAAAACAAATGCACACTTAGAAATAAACCAAAATACTTTAATGGACCTTCAATCATATGGCTCTATTCTGGAATCTAAAAATAACACTCGATGAACCCTCATTTTCAACCCAACATTTTTCCAACTGAATTTTCCTTTTGTTGAAAAAAGGAACAAGCAAGCAACAACAAAAAAAAAAGTTAAAGAATCTCGGGAATGTATTTGGGATTTATCTTAAACCCGAATCCCCTGAGTCATCAGATACAGAGAATATTTAATGCTTTTAAATTTTCATAAGGATGTGAGCGCATATGTGTGTTATAATTTTAAATAAACATGCCAAATAATAACTTCTAAAATTGTTACACACTGTATAATATTTCCTTCATTTATAATTTATTTCCATACTAATTAAATTGCGATTTTTGTGTGTAAGCGTCTATAATATGCGAGATTTCATCTCCTTTTTCTTCGAAAGCATCATATTCAATATTTATAATTACTTCTTTTAATTTAACCATAGGGAGTTTTTAGGATGAAACGATGAGTTATGCTTAATAATTCTCAAAGTTTTTCATTTATAATGAATTTGAAATGTAATCGTGTCTTTACACTAAAATAATCAATTCACTTTAATGATTGAAGTATCGACTGCTTAAATTAAAAGATTAAAGAGCTTTAAAAAAATCCAATCAAAATTCAAATTAAAATTATGTAAACATTTTATTATCCCTTGCATATCATTATCTCTTTTTTTATTGCAAATTACACAACAGCAAATAAAGTTAATCAAGTGTCAGAGTCAATTCAATTTTATACAATCAAATAATTTTTTAAATCATGCCAAATGGTGTTCAATTTTCATTTTTTATTCATAATCGACTTCCTATCACAATTGGATTGTGTAACAAGTTTTGTAGTCTCCATTCTTCCATTCTTTTCAAATACAATAAATTCAATAAAAACTGCTGATGTAAATGTTTTCAAATAATGAAAATTAACTTGGAGTTTAACAAAAGCTTAAGAGTTTGACGTTTTCTTTCTATTGAATAAATGGATTGAAAAAAAGGCTCTAAAATTAACATAAAGACTGACAATATAAATTCTGGTATTTTATTCAGTTTGCAATGACACAAATTGTTCCGAGATAAGCTTATGCTCTAGTTATTGTCTATGTCTTTTATTAAAATTTGTCAATGAATTTGGATACTCGAGAGAATGAGTGGCTAGCGATGTTTTCCCCAGGAATTGTGTTTTAAGCTTGTTTCACGGTTAGAACTTTAGAAAGTGAATTACAATTTTAAATTAAATTAAATTATATATTTTTGGAATGGCATGTATGCTTTAAAATATTGTAAACAAGGTAAACAAGGTAAACAAAAATTTAATACATTCGTGTGTGAATTTGCGAAATTCTTAGAAAATATTCAAAGACTTTTTGAAATTAATCTCATAAGAATTCATATTTTTTTTTGTGGTTTTTATCACGCTCTTAATGGAAAAACATAATTACAAAAATCTTTCTTGAATAAAGGGTCGTTCATTAATGACGACGTTCATTAATGAATTTTAGGCCCCAACTTTTGTATGATAGTGTAACAGAGCCTTCCTTTTAGTAAATTGCGAACATCAGATTTCTGGGTAACCCAGAGGGGTCGTTCACTTATGACGTCCGAAATTTCATTTTTCAAAATAGAACAATTGATTGCTGACCCCCCCCCCCCCCCCTTTCGGACGTCATAAATGAACGGCCCCAGAGCAAATCCTCGATTTTTTCATGATTTAAAAGTTTCAGTAATTTGCAGATTAAAAGCGTTTAAAAGGACATTCACTCGACTTACTGTTTGAAAATCTTTTTATAAATTTTTAAACCTTTTTATGAATTTCCATTTAAAATCCACAGCAAATAAAACGAGAAGAAAAAGCAAAAGTTGTGGTAAATTTGCTTGTACTCTAATCTTTTCAATAAATCTACTTCCTTCTCATCATGCTCGATGACTTTCACAGACGATTTATAACCCCAACTTACTTCTTTTCACAAGGGTTGTTGCTTTTATAGATGAAGAAAAGATTCTTTCAATCAATTTAAATTCCACTTTTTATTAATTTTTCATTTTATTGTATTCGTTTCCAATTGAGTTCCTCAATTTGTCGTAGATTTTTATGACTTTAATGTGACAGAATTTTTTGATGAATAGCAGAGAGAACATGAAAATCTCTGTATGCATACCCTTCCGTCTCGGTAGGATAGATCATGCTAAGGACATGTCGAATTATTTATTTATATTTACAAAATGTTTGAATTGTTTTTTGTCATAGAAAAAAATTTAAAAAAATATTTTTCAGACACGTTCTCAGTCTGGAAAAAATTATGAAAAGAAACTTTTTTCAACAGTTGATTAGACATCAAAACAGTAAACAAAAGTGTTGTTCTTTTAACAACAAATGAGTTAAACATGAGAATGAACATGAACGAGGAAGAAGATTGTAAAGAATCAGAATCAAGAAACAATATCGTATTCATATATGCTTTATATTATTTTTCTTATTCTTTAT